AGCGGGGATTAAATCAGGTGCTTCCGAAGAGCAGTTCCAGTGCCACTATTGACATACGTCGAATACCGCCGTGTAAACTAGGTAGGCGGAGGTTCCTATATATTGTACGATTATTTAACGCGTTTTGTTTTCAATGGAAAATAAAGGTTATATGGTGGATTTGTACTCTAGACGTTCTCGGAAGACTTTACCCCTCTCTAATTGACTATATGATTTGCTTAGTTAAGGGTGTTGCTTACGTTTCGACACCCTTTTAATTAACTTCTTTACATTTAATGTATATGTTCAAAATTTCAAGCAATATTGGAAAATAACTGACTTCACACCAACTTTCTACATTTAATCAGTTAGTGGAAGTGACTATTTGTATTTTTTAAACTTGATTTGTCAATACTTCCGTATATTTGCAAAATCCAGTTCCAATTTACCCCCGCAAATCATCCTTAGGGAGCATAAGATATCCTGTAAATTTGTTTATCAGACTATCAAAAAGTGTAATAAAATCCCATTGATAAACCAGTGACGAACTCTTCAGTCGTATAACTGCAGATTAAAGACCCCGTTCGTACGAAACATGCCAAGTAGTGAGCATTTTGACAGATTTGGAAAGAAAACTTTTCGTTTATTTCCGAATTGTTAAATTTAAATAAGTGTGGAAATAAAGCCTTCCGAATGCCGAAAAGCACTTAATACTAAGTATACACCAACACTGAACAGAAAGTGAAATTACACAGCTGCCGTCTCACTATGACGCACAAAGAATAATTTTAGCTTCGCTGCTTCGTTATAGCGTACAGTTACTGTCTGAATAGCCGAATGAAAGACCGGTAACACTAACAATTCTTTCTACAACGTAACTATGTAATTGTTTGTGTTATTCAGTTTTTAATTTTAGATAAACATAATGATATATAGCCCGACAATGCAGAATATGATGTATTGTAGCATGTAGATGGCAAACTTTGCATAACAGCTTGTTTTTTGTCTGCCATAAAGGGTGGTATATCTGGGAAATTTGTCGAAGCAAACAAATTTCACACCACCAATTCACTCACTCGCATTTAGAACAAATGTTATAGTAGTTCTACTCTGCCAGAAAACAGTGCTTTTGGTGTTGTTGTTTAATAAAACTAGCAAATGAATTTACATAAATGATTTTTTTTTTGCAGAATGAATATTATACATTGACCATTTTGAGCCAAAATTTACTCTTGCAAGAAAGCACCAATTTAAGGGTCAATGTAGTACATTGTACTATTCTTATTGAGACCTTAAGAAAACAATGCAGTGTTATTTTTAGCAGTAGGTGACTTCCAGAACTTTTAAGTCAATTGAAGACTTTAAACATTGGTTGACAATTGGCATGTAGAAAACATGTTTGATTTCAGTTGTTATTGGTTTTGAACTAGCTTGCAACAACTGTGATTACTCTTAGATCGGTTTTGTGTGCCTTTTGTCTTTATGTAAGTTGTTTTGAGTGCTTCGTGGCGATTTGATGAGTCGAGCCATTTTCAACTGATTTTTGCGGTTCGTGCTTATGTTGTGCTGTTATACCACTGTCCCAGGTTAGGGAGGGTTGAGCGCTCACACACATGTTTAACCCCGCTACATTCTTTATGTGTCTGTCCCAAGTCTGGAGCCCGTGATTCAGTGGTTGTCGTTGGTTACTGTTTATCATATTTGTTTTTCGTTTATTGTTTTGTCATAAATTAGGCCTTTGTTTTTTCGTCTGAATGGTTACACTTTATGTCATGCTGTTTATAGATGACTTTACGGTATGAGATTTGGTCATTGCTGAAGGCCATACGGTGACCTATAGTGATCAAATCCGCTCCATTTGGACTGTGTTGGATAGTTGTCTCGTTGACAATCATACCACATCTCCTTATTTTATATATATTTAGAAAGGTAATAAATGTGCGATTCATGATATACATGTTTCTCTTCAAATTAAACTTAAAGTTAAATATTTAGAGAGCTATGAAAATAGAATAAATTGATTAAATATGTCTTCCAGGTTCAATAGTTCAAATCGCGCTTTAATAATCCAATGTTTGCATTTTATTCCGCCTATTACTCGCGTACTCACGTTGGAAAGAAATGCGTAAGTTCTTCTACTGGCCAGACCCCAAATCAAAAGAAAGATTAAAGCATCTTAAAGATGTATCTAAATTTTTCATACACAACTGAAATTTGTTATGCTAGATCGAGTCATTAATTATTTGACTCGAATCTCCATTAGTTATGTATAGCTTTTAACAAATGATAGGATGATAAGCCACAAATGTTATTTGTGCGGGTGGCAGGACAAAAAGCCGTATAATAATTGGATTAACCTCTATAAATCAGTGTGATAGAGAAAATCTTATTAAAGAAAAACAACTCACTCAAAGGTCACTTTATTTGTGCATTTATCTTATTTAAAGTGATTATTAAAACAGTCTAATTATATACGTAATAATACCACTATTTAACTCACTGATACTTAAATAACAACCATAACATGACCCCGATTCAAAATGTTCGACACTACCGATTTCGCTTGCAGGAGTTATTTTAATGTTTATAAAAATAACTAGGTTCATTTCAGTATAGTAGTTTTTTTAGTTATTACTACATTGAGCTTTTTCATTGACACGTTGCTTGCGTTCGGTGAAGATGTGCTTCAGGTCGAATATGCAAGAGACAAGGGTTTTTCATAGGTCTTTGTAAATTATATTCTCAAGCAATTCTGGGGGATGATCCATTTTGACTGCTCAATGAGTAAAAAGATAGGGATGGTTTCAAACATTAAAATCAAAAGGGTTCTTGCACAGGGTCTTTCTGGGTCCAATAAAAATATTATATGACTTCATCAAAACGTTGTTTTTTGAATTAGCTGCCTGCACACAGTCGCGTGATGATTGTAAGATAAATATCAGTTAGCATTTATAATGATAATCCAAAAGGCCACAAACTATCACTTTTATCTTCTCTGAAAACAAATAGTTCATGCAAGTCTAACTATAACAATCATTAATAAATCTAAATCTCAAGTACAATAAATTTTAACACAAGTAAACGTTAAAAATGTCAAATGTCAATAATAGAAATTTTTCTACAAAAACGGTGTAACAAATATCAGTAATGTGTATAAATATATTTCTATTCACGTATATTTTGATATTAGAAGAAAACTGATTGTGCTGGTGTTTTTTGTTCTCTTAAATACATATTATCGAATGCATGGTTAATATTGAATCCACAGTTGCTAGTATTGTATTCAGTGTAATGCATACCTTGTAAAACATTATAAATAATACATATCAATACTGTTTGAGCTTGTTATTGGAATGTTTTGATTTAGAACACTATATTAATAAAGTATAATACAGTAGTTTTCCATTGAGGTTGGACCAAGCACACACAATGTGCGCTCCCAGTTTATGGAAGCTACATTAGCTACGAGGCGAATTTTGCATCTTAAACGAGGAAATTTGGGGTCTTTACTTTTAAAGCCAGCTGGTGACTTTTAAATAAAACCATTAACTTTGCCCTTTCTTGTCAATCAGGCCAATGCTCTATTGCGTCATTTTTAAGCTTATGTAAAAAAAAATCTATCTATTTGGGTTATAGTTTGTCTTGTTTCTTTTGAGAAAAAGGGGTATTGTTGACAAAAATAAAATCATTAAAATGCAATTCGTTGTTCATCCTTTTCGTTAATGAAAATAACCTTGAAGTTATCTCTTACTTATAGATCTTCTTTAGTTAACTTTCAGAATATTAATATAAATAATATTAAATAAATAAGGCTAGAAACATGATTTATTTATTAGTTGGAATAGACTTTGGACTAGCTTTCAATATAATTGCTAGTACTCCAGCTAAGATCAATACCTTGTGTTGTTTTTTTTGTATGCTTAGTGCCGATCTGATGAGTCAAGCCTTTTCCAAGTGATTTTTATGGTTTTTTCTTATGTTGTGTTGTAACACCACTGTCTCAGGTTAGTAGGAGAGGTTGAGTGCTCACAAACATTCTTTATGTACCTGTTCCAAATCAAGAGCCTTTAATTCAGTGGTGTCTGTCATATTTCTGTTTCGTTTATTGCCTCTACCATAAATTAGGCCGTTGTTTTTTTTTTTGAATTTTTTCACTTATTATCACTAATTTCAATAATTGTAAAAGACAAGCACTGACGAGGCTGTGACTTGAGACAGGCAATTTCGAGAACAAGTGGCGGGATTATAATTTTTTTTCATACATATGTCTCAACCCTCCACTTTTTCAGTATATTTCAGAGTTGTATGCATTGTATATTTTTCAAATGTGTAAAGAGTATATATAAGAAAACTTGGAACTTCAGTTATACAGAGAAAGTAATAGTACACTTTTCCATTCCTTGACTTTTTTTTTGGTAATCATCATGATCATGTTAAACTAAAATTTGTTTTAAAAACCATTACATTACAAAAAAAACTATAATTATGCATCTGAACTTGTGAACTAAGCACTATTCTCATGTAGGTTTCATAAATAACTTGAAAAAATCGAACAAAGTCTTCTTTCTGACTATTTTGGGAAAGTATAAGGCTGGCTTCCGGTCTTAAATTAGACTTCCGGTCTTAAATTAGAACGACTGGCTTATTATTAGAATGCGACTTATTCTTAATATAGTTATAATTGATATACTGTCAACTATTTTTTGTTTGATTTGATATATAACATGATATCCAATATAATTCCAGAAATTTCACTAAAGTAAAAGTTTTCTGTATGAACTTGCACATATCAAACATAATTTGGTAAGACAGTATACATTTTACATAATTGTTGTGTTTATCAATGCTAATGAAATAAAAGAAACTGCATTTTTTTCTTTTCTAAAAATCTTTTATCTCGAATAAGACCATTCGTTATTGTTCTGTTCAGTTATGTTTCGGGCTGATTTTTTAATTTTTTTTTAGTAACTGAGCTATGTTAGTTGGACGAAGTTCCGACTGACTGATAATAACAGATTACATGTACATGCCTTCACGAGGCAAACATTACTAAATAATCATAAAAAAAACTATCTCAAACAAACTAAACTAAAAATATAATAATCACAAAAAGACTATTTCTCTTATTTTACCATATGTTTCTTTTTGGTCTTTAAATATTCCCATATATATTTGATGTATCATTACTCCGGCTTCAGAATCGCCGAAAAATGGAAGACACCACTTGCGTATGTTACAAGATTTGTTTTATTCTGACATAAAAACGTCTTAAGGAATTATTGAATTATCAAAACTCTATAAATTGTATCTTACTATATCATTAAGCTTCAAAGCAGGATTTTTTTCTTTATCCAAAACATTTTTGAATTACAGTAATAAAGTAAGTTAGACTTATCTCAACCAGAGGGCACACACTTACGTTGGAAAGTATAAAACAGTCAGAAAGAACAAAAAGTTAAAAAATATTAACAAAAACGTTGCGAATTTTCGAAAAACAGGTACAAAATGAGTTCAATACATCATTTCAGAAGCTTCAAATATACGTTGTACATGATTACAAAGATCATTGAACTTTTACAGTGATGTAAAACCATAAGCGTAGAAAATTAGAAAATTATCATTAAAAATATATGTGTGTTATACCTTTGGGGAACATAAAATATATTGATTAACTCTGCTTTATATAGAAAGCCAATGCCCAAGACAGGTTCTCCTGTCAATATCGAAAACTGTTTTATTTCTGAAAAGATACTTTTATTATCTTTATATTTTCCTGCCAATTTATAGAATAATTCCGTTTAACCAACTCCCAGTGGATAGACGATAGGAAATATTTTTTTTGTATATATTTTAAATGAAACAAGATAATAAAGACTTATTGATTTTGTTACAACAATATGAACCAGCTCAATAATCGGGTATGTCATAATAAATTTATGAAATTGATCCATTCTTGTTTCTGGGCAAAGCCAAAGCTTTAAAATTTCATATTAATTTCCAATTTAAATTCTAGGAACGGTTGAGTTTTCGCTTTTCCACTCGGAAAATTCTGACGCAAATAATAAAATTCTCAAGTGACTGCCATTTCTTGTCTAATTCATCAAATAAGTTAAATAAATTTAATTTTGAAGAAAACGCAGTCTGAGAAGTAAATAATATCATTTATACAATCCAAACATGACATAAAAAAATTATTCGATAAATTACATATAAACAAAGAAAGTAAGCAAAGATGTACAATTACTTTAAATCAATATTCTGCTGATTTTCTTAAAGGAAAAGCTAACAACATGTCTGCTCCGTCGCACCACTGTGCGGGAATATAGAAAGGGACTACAGGATTTAACATGTCAGTATCGCTAATGAGTCTCGCCAATGTAGAAATAAGGACAATGGTTTATTAAGCATTAATCTGTTCTTGTTTTAAAATTATTTGAGTTTTAAGATTGCTTTTCAAAACTTCTAAGTTATAACTATCTTCGACAATATACCACATTGAAAGTTCATTATTTTTCAGATCAGTTTGTATTGTTATATACTTTCCAACGTTTAGAAGATACGTTATTAATTGAAAAATGTTCCTTCGAGCTCGAAAAACACCTTTCAGTTACGGACAATATGAATGGTAGTTCATTAATTGTTGCATTGCGTATCTCTCATTAAAGCCTCCTGCAATTGGAACAACTTTTTAATGAAGGTATAAACGTATAAAATTTTCTGCTTAAAAACGAAAATTTATACACAACCTTATTAATTTAAAATCACATAAATGCTACCAGTTAAGAAATATGGTAAAATAATTATGTCCATGTCAAGAAAGCATTCTTGTGAAAGTTAAAGTGGGATTTAGCAACAACAACAAAATAAAATGGTGCATGGTGGCCTTCTCTAAACTCTTCCAAGTTTTGAAAACGTTAAACATGTAAGTGAAGATTCTGGAAACTAAGGTTTTATACTAATGGTAAAGGCAAAACAAAAAAAGGTTGGAGCCGTAAATCACCTACACTACACATGTGTCATTTTGTTTCGAATATTTTAAGGAAACGTTGGTCGTTTAATTGATACAATTGAAAAACTACCATTAATTGTTAAAACCCTCTATATCTAGTGAGAAGAAATTATGGATTCTTTCGTTGAATGTACATTTTCATTTATATAAAACGCGTAAATTATCTAAATGCAATATTGTGTCAAAAGTGCATGAATATAAATGAAAGATGAAAGCTAAAAAGTGAAATAGATCTGAAGACTAAACTCTACATAAACCACAGTTTTGATTTCAATGACTTATTAGTAACATCATTTGTAACGCCCTAAAACAATGGAATATGGATTTATCTTAATGAACTCACAGGTACAATAAATCTTGGATAATAAAAATTTGAAAGATTTGAAAATACCATATTAATCTAGTGAAAATAAGAAAATATCATGTATTAATTAAATGATAATGTATGGAAATATATTACTAACGTGTGTATATATAGTATGTATGTTGAAATGCATTTTAGTTTAAAGGTATACAATAACCATTAAAAATAGTGAAAAGATAATACACAATTCTGATTGAAAAATAAACACACTAAGACAATAGGACGAAATCAGAATGCAACCTTCATTTGAAATTTTGAATAGTGGACCATGGCTGACGTGCATAAATCTTAATCAAAACTTTAAGTGTAAAGTATAAAGTTCATCACTAGGAAATGTTTAGGATTTCAACTATAAGATTAGATTGCAACTGGAGGTAAAGCCCAGGATATATATATAAAAGTTACTAGTGCTGCAGTATATAAAGTAATGTGTTTGTACAACTAATCAACTATCCAAGTCTTTCAAACCAAACTTTAAAATTTTAAAACGAGAATGTAAGTGAAATTTTAAGTAACTACCTTATGATAAAACATTCACTATATACGACCCCTGCCAGTTTTATGTGCATAGAATTTGTTAAAATTTTCAGTGATAATTGGAACTGGTATGGCCAACGTCAAGACACCGGTGATCGCACAAATACTGCCGATTACCTTTCCAAGAGGCCCCACGGGCACTTTGTCACCATATCCAACGGTACACATTGTTATTACTGCCCACCAAAAACCATCTGGAATGCTGTGTATTTGAGAATCCTTTAATCCATGTTCTGCATAGAATATTGCACTTGAAAACAACAGTATACACACAAACATTGCTATAAGAAACAACAAAAGACCTTTGATGCTGGCTTTGAATGTTAAAATTAAAACTTGCAAGCCAGCAGAATGTTTAGTTAATTTAAATATCCGTATTAATCGGAACACTCTCAAAAAGGCAAGCGATGCTCCAGAAGTTTCACCATTAACGCAATTTTCGGTTGATATCATATTTCCTAACTGAACATAATACGGTACAATCGCAGCAATATCTACAATGTTTTTAAAGTCTTTGAAATACGTAATCCTATTGGGGCAAGAAATAAGTCTGAGGAAGACTTCCCAAGTGAACCAGATGTTACAAATAGTTTCCAAAATGAAAAACGGTTCAACATAATTGGGTTTTCCGTCTTTGCACTCATTTTCCGAAAGACTTGGTAGTGTTTCAATGCAAAATAAAACAATGGCAAACATTGTAATAAAAACAGAGACAAGAGCTATCACATAAGCAGAAATACTTGTTTCCGGATATTCCATCAACATCCATAGTTTTCTTTGCCACATGCGAGTAGGAAGTATAGTCTTCTCAGTGGTATAACCTTCTTCCGTTTTGTACTCATCAATTGCTTCTCTTTCAATTTCATAAAAATCGAGTTCACGTAAGAATATATCATCTGGAACAGGATCTGGCCTCATTATTTTCCCACCATATTGATAATAGTTGAAAATTGATTCGAAAGTTGGTCTATGTCTGTCAAAGAAGTACTCATTTCGTCTCTTGTCAAAGAATTTTAATCGTTTTCTTGGACTACCCAATAAAGTAGTCGGGTGTCTATTCAGAACGGAAGCCCAAATTTCATAATACATACCGCTAACGTTTATCGTAATTCTCTCACAAGTCTGTAGTTTGCAAAGATGCGGTTGATCGGTTCTGTCGCCACAACATGTTTGTAAATACACTAATATTTCTGATTCGTTATCGTCCTCATCTAATGACGCATGTGGTGCTCCTTTTGCCGAATCTTGAGACTGGAACAACCAAAGGTCTCCTTCAATATCATTCATCCGGTCAGGTCGACTTACTGGACGCCTATACCTTGATTGGTTCATTAACGAAACAACCGCCATATTTTTAATTAATAAACCTTGCCTGATGATGGATATATTTTCACTCCTTAATCCATTATCCTAAATCACAACAAAGTCCTAATCTACATAATTTTATCAGCGGCAATTTTCTAATAACATTATCTATTCGAAATCTTTACCGAGATTTGGAAAAAACAAGCTTCCATTATCTATCTTAATTTATCGTGAAATAGTACAGGTACGTGTATTAAGCAAAATAAAAAAAAGTTTCCAATGCTATCCGATGGAGAAATGAACTGAAACTAGTAAGATCGATTTCATCATCGTTACACACAAGATACAACATATCATGGGAGTACTTTGGATTCCAAGCTTTCCTTTGGAATTAGTTTCCCATAAAATATTAACGCACCTCGATTCATAATAAACAACGTATTTTAGTCATTGTTCATCGTTAAATATTCATTACAACAGAATATTAAGTACAGAACAATTACCTGCCAAGGTTTCTTTGTAAATATAATCTGACAGTCCATAAGATATTGAACACTTAGTTTTGGAACCACTTATACATTATCCATGAAATACATTGATGAATTTCCTTTCCATTTATTGCACATGTTTTCGGCAAGTAATTAGGCATTAGTCCACAGTTTCATTGACTAACATTGAACTGTTTAGTTGATGGTAATTAATAATTAATTGACGATCTGACTAGGTTTAAGTCATTTACAATCACTGAGTTGTAACATACTACACCATGGAAATATGAACTGATCATACATGAAATGAGAAGTTGAGATGATGTGATAAAAATCATTCTTGTTGAGACTATATAAAGACAACTTGTTGTGAAGCTTCAAAGATCAATACCTTTATTAGTTATCAATTTTGTATACAGACGTATAGAAGCGCATGTTGTATTTTGTGAATGAGCAACCAATTGAAGTACCAGCCTCCTGTGTATTTTATGATCATTATTTCAATTAATAAATCCAATACTTTTTTCAAACTTTATTGACATACATCTGTGCACTGAATAAAATCGATGTGACAATAATTAATAGAGTGTTTAATTTACGAACGGTCAATAAGATCATTTTATTGGATAAACAGATTGCCAACTGAGTATTAAATACCGTTTATCTTTGTACGCATCAATTTGTTACAGTAAATATAGAGGGATGTGTAATCGAAAAAGAATTCAGTTAAAGACAATTCGTTTGTACAAATTCAATATATCAGCTCTGAAGATTGTTTTAAGATATCTTTCAATTGTTTAGATATTTTGCTCGATTCGTTCGATATTTGCATTTGTCTGACTTTTTACGTAGTGGTTGTATGGTTTACAGAACGAGTCAAATCAAATACTGTTTTTTTTTTCATTTTTTAGGTCCACAAATTAATTTTTGTGTTTGATCGACCTTATTGTAATTTTCCATATAACACGACATACATGTTGTACACTAAAGACAAACGAGACAACTATCCACCAGAGACCAAATGACGAGGATGTAATCAACTGTTATTCGTTGTACGGCCTTCAACAATGAACAAAACTATAGATTTTAGACGCATTTCATTTCATAGATACGAATATTTAGTTTGAAGTTTGGCTGTACTTGTAGAAACCTTAATACACACGGAATATCACATCCTAATGTTTATGGCGATGTTGTTACTGTACTGGGTTGAGGTCATAAGATGACCTGTAAGTCGTCTACATTCACGTCCAATAGTCTCTTGTGCATTGTCATTTAATTGGCAATAATACCACATCTCCTTATTTTCATATAAAAGGTCCAGGACACGTTAATGTGTTGCTAACATGTTAAATTTAAAACTACAATAGATAGACAGCAACTGTTGTTTAAATTAACACAGTAGAAACTTTTTATTTTTATAAAGCAAATAATGAAGGGGTTTTAGGCAAAACAGTAGGGTATATTGATTTCTGTTCTTACGACACATGCTTCTGTTAGAACATTCATCAGGTAAACACAACGACAAAAGTTTAAAATCATTAAAATATTTGATATCATAAAAATCCTCAAACATAATAGCTATAACTTTCTAAACTGAAGGTTGAATGTGCAATCTTATATACCTTTTTAGTACAAAATTACGGTATTCATGAACCGGAAATTATATAGACCGAAATTAATTAAAGTGTATACTATATACGGTATGTACTATTTAGCGGCGTCTGTATTGATTGATTGATTGTTGGTATTGATTTATTATCAACTACAAAAACGTTTTTGTTTGTCTCTTTGTTAGATTTATTCTTATTTTTGTTTGAATTTTTTAGTCAGCTGTGTAACTGTTGTACGTCTGTGATGTATGTTTACACAGTTTTGGGTGCTGGATTCTAATTATTGTCACATTTAACTATTATGTCTGCTTGGGTTGGTCACCCAATTTTGTCAATATAACGAAAATATAAACAACTGTATAGCTAGATATAAAACCAGGTTAAACCCACCATTTCCTTTGGAAAACGCCGGTACCAAGTCAGGAATATGACAGTTGTTTTCATTCGTTCCGTTGTTTGATAACGTTCGATTTTGTAAGTTATTATGGACTAACCGTTTTTGAATTTACCTTGAAGTTCGGTATTTTTGTTTTTCTTTTTTTTATGAAAAGTAGTGAACAATTAGAATATACAGTACTCGAATGAGGCAAATCAAAAGGTTTTGCTGAGAGGGGGTTTATTTAACGACCTTCAATACAACTCATAGTTCCGAATGCAATCGAGATGCACAATTCACATGCCTCAATGTAATAATTTCCGAAATCGACTGAATTCGGATCTGTGTTTTACAACAACAAAAAAACAAAACCCGACACATCTATCAATTCAGCGTTTAGAATGTTTACTTTAATGCTGAGTTTGAACTTAAATGTTTTTTTCAAGTAACATTTTTCGTTGAAGAGAAAACGAAAAATTATATCACCAAATCAAGTACTTGATTCTTAAAATCAAAAATAGTTTGATCTGCCAAATTATGAGTTATGTCAACTTTCAATTTTTCTTTCTTAGAATAAAAAACAAAAAAAATGTAATAACATTCCATTATTCGATTGGTTTTTTCGCATCGAAATAATTATTTCTGTGTAATGTTTTTTTGGCTATTCATTGCTGTTTGTTTGCTGTTGACGTTTACCGCCACTATCAGCTACCTTGGCTATATCATTGTGTCAATTTTTTATTGATGGGAAAAACAGTGTGAACCACCGACCTTCCTCATGAAATCCTGGTAATTGTTGTTAATAAAGATCGGAGTCGAACACTCCTCACCACGAGCGGGGTTCAAACTCACAACCCCAGAATCGAAAGGCTTGTGATCACTGTAAATAAACAACAACCACATGCCCACCGAGGCCCTTACTTGCTGCCCTTTTTTCTCTTTTCTTTTTGTCATTTTTTTCATTTGCCTTCAGTCTGCGACTTCTGTTTTTTGAATTGTTGCCTTGGTGTGACGAACACAAAATTACAATTATATTTTATATTTGAAAATTCATCCCATCTTAAATCTATTTTATTTTATCAATGGTCCGGTCGCAGTCGTATTTGTTACTCTGCAGGTCGCAAAATAATTAAAAAACCTATATGCTCACCTGTATCTATTTGCTTCTTCAACAATGGCCACTCTCCAACATTGTATGCTAGAAATAATTCATGATTTAAATCTCTGTTCTGCTGATCATTTTCCCTCTATTACTTGACCTCTATCTACTATTATAGCTTTTATCCAAAACACAAGAACGGGTTAAATTCATTATTTAAAGAGCAGTAACTCCTATAAGAGTGGAATGACTATTTCAGCTTTGTTGGTCGTCTCTTGCGTATTGTTTTTAATCGGTTCAATTTCTCTCTATTTTCTATAGATTTTGTCCAAAACGCAAAAAAGCTTAAAAATTATCTGTTAAGGGGAATAACTCATAGTAGCAGTCAAATGACAATTTCGTGATCTCTCTATTATAGTTTTCGAGACAAAAGACATAAACGCAAAAAAAATAGTAAAACCGTCATCTAAGGGCAATAACTCCTATAAAAATTCGACTGGCGATTTTGGCAACAAGGACTTGTTTTGCTGTTCATTTATGATATTTTATGTCTCTCGTTATCCATTATTATTTTCAAGATAATAGGCAAACATGATAAAAAAATTGGTTAATATTGTCATTTAAAGGCAATAACTCATACAAAGAGTCGTCTGATAATGTTGGTTAAATGATCAGTAAGTCGATCTCAAATTTTTGAACTTGTTTGCTCCAGTCAGATTTTCTCCATTTATGTTTTTTTTTCAAGACAATAGACAAAACTTACATTTTACACCTATGTTCTATTTTCAGCCATGTTGGCCATGATGGTTGACAGGAGAAACAAATCGGACACATTTTTTAAATAAGATAACCCAATGAAGATTGAGACCAAGTTTGGTTCCAATCGGCCTTTTCATAGTAAATGATCTTTGTAGAAGTTAACGACGGACGCAAAGTGATTAGAATAGCTATCTTGACTTGTGGGTCAGATGAGTTAAAAAAGTGAGGCGAAAGATACAAAAGGGACATTCAAACTCATAAGTCAAAAATAAGCTGACAACGCAATGGCAACAAAAAGAAAAAAGACCAAAAGACGAACAACAGTATACAAAACACAACATAGAAAAAAAAGACTGAGCAAAACGAACCCCATCACAACCGGGGATGATCTTAAGTGCTCTGGAAGTGTCTTTACAGTAAGAGGAATTTGAAAGATTCCTTTGCTCGATGTAATGTTAACGGCGTCTAACAAAAGATTTCGCTCAAACTGGTGCTAGGTGCAGCCGTCATGAACTTGCAGTGGGGTAAGAGTTTTTTGCTCCATGTCGAAGGTCTCTCTTTTAAATTAAGAACAACAATCCAACTGTTCCTTTGATTTTTGTCCCTCATGTGCATGAACTGATTCTGTGTCATGAATTATTGATGCACCATATTCTTTCTTTTCCATTATGTTACAATAAAATGACTGTCACTTGATATTGAAATTCCTTTGATGCATGTTTGTAATTAAGAATAAATACTTGACTTTTAACATCAAAAGACAGTTTATAAGATTTCACATATATAAACTTATACGGTCATAAAATATAAACTAAAATAGTGACGTCTGAAAAGTATTTTACTTCAATTATTTGATCAACACCATTGTATTTTTTCTATTGATGCTTATCTGCAAATAAGCAGTAATCAATGATCAACATTGATCGAAAAAGAGTTTACCGTAAAATACATCCCAAATGATTCCGAACAATAGTCATAGACATATTAATGTTGCAATTTTTCACACGAATCGGCAGAAGTATACGTATTTAGCACTTCCTTACCAATAGAAAAGCTGAAGCAGACCATCCATGGAGACCAGCTTAATGGATATATAATTTTGCCTATGCTTAAATTATTAAAAATGATCATCTTTACAGACAGACGTGACCATCGTTCCATGAATAGGAATAAGTAAATGCATGCATATATGTATATACATCTGGTGATCCATTTATTTGGCAATCGCCATGGCAGTCAACAGGGTTTAAGAACATCCGTTGTTCGACCTGCTAGTCAAATGCGATTTGTTAAAGAATATTTTTTTTTAATTTTTGGGTCTTTTGGAAAATGTTGTTTGTGCTGTATTTAGACCCCTCTACCAAGAAATTTGTTTTGCATGCATACGTATAAAAATTGCGGTTTTTATAAAACGCAATCATAGGTTTGAACGTTGTTTTCAATTTAGACTTGTTTATATTTTTTCGTTTGGGCTTGAAACATATTTGCCTTCGGGTTCCTATAATCCGTTCATCCTA